GCCTCGCCCTGCACGGAAAGTTTGTGCGAGCGGGGCCCAGGCGCCCAGAAAAGTGCCCCCAAGGCACAGAGACCTGCCGGCCGCACTGTAGCTGCCCCTCTGAAGAAGGTGCCCTGAGAAGCTTGGGGGGCACCCAGCCTGCTTCCTTCCCTGCTCCAGCACACGCGGGCGGCTGTGTTAGCAGACAGCCGCGCAGGACGGGCCCCGGCCCCCCAGGGGCCCCAGATGGGGCACTGCAGCTAACCCTGCCTTTCACACCCTGCCTGCCCTCCACCACAGGGAAGTGGGTGCGGGGAGAGGCATGAGCAGCATGAGTCAGGCTGCCACAACAGTCCTCCGCAAGGGGGACGAGGCCCCCAAAGCAGGCGCTCCATTGCATCAGGTCTGACTCAGGGGGATGAAGGCACTTGTCATTATAGCTGCTCATCTGGAGAAGGAGCCTGAAGAAGCGTGGTGACAAGCCACCACATTTCCTTCCTCACCTAGGCCCCTGTGTACCCACAGGCACACGGTCCCCAGGGAGAGGAGTTCACCATAGACAGCTGCATGGGGCAGGCCTGGGATTTCAGGAGATGAAGGTGGTTGTCATTGTAGGTGCTCATCTGGGGAAGGTGCTCACAGTGCTGCCACGGGTAGTTTGTGGGGATGGGATTACGCCTTTGCCTTTTACTACTTCACTACTTCAGCTCCAGCAAGCCTCATTTGTCCCCTAGTATAATAGACAACCAGGAATCCACAGGGGAAAGGAGATCCTTCCCATTCAAATTAAAATAGCTCTTCCCAGTTTATTCCAATCTTTTACCCCTGTTTTCATCACACTGACTTAGCTGAAGTTACTCCTGTCTCATACAGGATAAAGGAAGAGGAGAGGAACTGCTGAATCCAAAGCCTTAGGTTTTATCCTGCTTAATAGGTGAAATATAGCAATAGTTTTCCACTGAGTTGGAGATTCAATGCTGTTTTCAGTAGTGTATTGCTGGAGATTCCTAAGGGAGTATCAGGCACTTTTTTCTAATTAATGTGAGAGGATTTTATGGCGTAGAAATGAAGATGCCTGGTGAATAGTTTTACTAGTAGGGTATTACAGCTGTAGAGAGTCATTCACCTCACTTCCTAGATATTCTGCCAACACCTGTCCTGTGTACCCTGGTGCTACAGCCCCTGGTCTGCATTGAGTAACAACTGGTAATCATGGCAATTTTGTATGTGGTTGTGTAACAAGAGCCACGGTTACTATGTACATAGTTACATAGTACATAGTTACTAACTAGTTAGTAGTTAGCTTCCTGGTTTATTTTTATTGACTTGCCATTAGATTGCAGCTCTCCAACAGTGAAAGGGTATTTTTTTTAATGCATAGCAGTGCCTAGTTACATTGATTCTTGTTAAACTCAAGAACGGTTTTCCTAGTAGGGTTTTCTGTCAGGTATCAGTTTATTAAACAGAAAAAATTCCCCTTAAAAAGAAGAGTTAATAGGTACAACTGCTCCTTTCTGTACTGTGGGCCTGATGATGACCTATTCCACAAAGAAGTTAATGGGTGGAGTCTTAAGGAGGAGAACTAAGACTTTTCTCACAATACACTGGGTCCTTACCGTTCATAAATTGGCAGTTCCCACTGAATTAATTCCTGTTACCACAGTTTACCTCAGCTGAGAATCTGGTCCACTGAATTCTTCCTTCATAAGCAACTAAGCAAATAAGCAACTTTAAAATTTTAGGTAATGTGGTGGCTTTACTGGAACCATGGGATATTTATACACATGCTACAGAGGTGGGGAGGGGGACCTTTAATTAGGTGGCAGCAGCACTTTAAAACTCATTGAACAAGCTTTAGTTAAAGTGCCCCTGCCTCCATTTTTCAGTGTGGGGACGCTGATGCATATGACGCTGGAGTCAGCTGGAGCATGGTAATTCCCATACTCCAGTAGAGTAGATTAATCAAGTCTGCTCCAACATGCTGTAATTACAGCATGTTGGGGCAGCCTTGCTGCACATGTTGAGGTGCCCATGGTTTCTGGCCTTTCTTTGTTAGTGGTTCCTGGTGCCCTGTATGAATGAGAATTCCAGAACACGGGGCGCAGCTACACAAACATTAAGGTGCTTTTCCTAAGGCACATTAAATTTAGTACCTCCAATTTGAGGTACTAAACAAATGCGTATTAGACTGCCTTAATGCACAGTAATGAGTGTGCATGGTTTTTAAGAGATGCTTAATGTGCAGTAGCCTATTTTACAGCACATTAGCATGATAGCATATTTTTTATGTGATGCTTTAATGCACAGTAAAATAGGCTACTGTGCATTAAAGTGCATGTGTAGATGCACTCACAGAGAGGGACTTCGGAAAAATTAATCTGGCTTCAAGCTTTGTTGGCTGGTTTGCAGATTCTGTCGTGTAATGATATGTGTCTACCCGTTCCCCATTTGAGGATCTCTGACCTTTCAGAAGGTGAGAAGGGGAGAGAAAAAGTGGTTCCTTTTGATCTGGGAGTATAATTAAGCCTCTTTTCCTTGGAGAAAGAGTGAACCAGAAATTAGAGATGAGAAATTTTAAGTACTGATTATTTTTAAAAATATGTAGAGAATATTTATAATATACATTTGAGTGACTTAATAATTAATTCTTATTGGAAACCAATGGGAATTAGGTGCCAAAGCTAGTTATATGCTTTTGAATATTTGACCAATGACCTGCTGGGCACCATATAAAAAAATACCAAGACCTCCTTGCAACAAGGAGTTTATCATCTAAAAATAGATATTAAAAGTAAGTACAGTGGAGTCACATCATACACACATTTAACTTATGCAAATTCAACTATATGCACTCGGCAAAAAAAAAGAGAAAAATAACAATTTAAATAGTGTGGGCAATTCTGCCCGCCATTCCACTCAATGTCCTCATAGTGTGAGCATCTCTGAGTGTGATTCTAGTGTTTAAAGATGCGTATTTTTCATACAACATGGCCCCTAAACGCAAGCCAACTACGTCATCTGGTGCTCAACTGAAGAAACAGCAATCTGGGATTTTCAAGGGTAATTTTGACTATATATGATTTTCGCCTTACGCGCTGACTTTAAAACCTAACCCCCGCGTAAGATGCACCTCCACTGTAACTGGGATAGTCAGCTAACTTAGAATAGGCTTAGCCTCGTTGTACACGGGAGACCTGCTCCTGAATCAGGACTCCGTTGTGTTGGATATACTGTATCTTGTATGGCTTTGCAGAAGCTTCACTACCTTACTGAGCATGCCAGTGCCTCTGAGGTTAAAATATTTTCATTTTTACATAAGAATCCACATGTTAAAAACTGCACAGCTGAGCAGAATCTGTCTCAGCTTGTTCTAGGGACTGATTTGAAGTAAAAAAGGCCAAATTTTCTTCTGACTTAAACTTCATACTGGTGGAACTCCATGCAAGTGAATTACTCTGCTTTATACACGTGTGTTTGAATAGGGATTTGGGCCCAGTGTTGTTCTTCAAGTTTGCTACATAGTGGTGCACCAGTTCAGTAACACCAGGAGTAGATATGGTTATAGATTATGGAAGGTAACAAGAAAATGAGTGACACTGCATATCGTGAGCCAGCTTATTGTGCTAAGTATCGCACAGCATATTTGAACAATAAGGCTCAGATAATTTTTCAGATTTCAAATGTTCTTTTTGAACATTTTCCTTATAGCAGGAGAAAATCTGGGTAGATGTCAAAATTAGGTCATTGTAATTACTTAGAACAGGGGTGATTAACTCGTGTACAGAGGCTTCTTATGCCACTTGTGTTGTGGCACACAGCAAATCAGGGAAAAGCAGGCATTGCAACAGCAGAATGGACAGGAAGCACAACTGCAGATTGGGTGGGAAGCACAAGGGAGGGAGCAGAAAGCACAGCAGCAGATCAGGCAAGGACAGGGGATCGGAGTGGCACTTGAGGAAGCCGTGGGGCTTAATTTGTGGCACACATGCCAAATAAAGTTGTCCCTCACTAACTTAGAAGATGCTACTAGCTAAAGGGAGCAGGCAATTTCATACTACTTGTGCCAAGATTTGATAGCAGAGGATTTTCTACGCTGAAATCCTGAAACAAGGCTATTTAAATTACAAACAAAATATAAGTCAATAGAATAAGGAGACAGGCTTATTGCGCAAAACTTCCAGGTCTACTTTACTTTTTAATTAATATCTTTAATCCTTTTTTTTATTGTTGCAGGCAGGAATGTTCCCTCTGCTTTTCACATATGCACACTTTCATACTCGATTGAAACATAGTTAAAGTAGATACTTTTTTCTTGGAACTCTGCATTGTGGGCACCAAGGGGATGAAGGAGAAGAACTGCCCTTATGCAACCAGTCAGTCCATTACAGTTTTGTGACATTTCTCCAGCAAAACATTCTAAAGCACATTGCAGAGGAAAGAAAATAAGACAAATTCCCAAAGGTAGGTCTAGATACATAAGCAATGCTACTATTTCAACAAATACAGCCTAGAGTGGTGAGGTTTCTAATGCATGAGGATTAATTGACTTAAGGCATGCTTATCCAACATACGGCCCGTGGGCTGCCATGCGGCCTGCCAAGCCGTTTTCTGTGTCCTGCGGTGCTGCGATGGGAAACACTGTTTACTTTTGTTCCTACCCTTGTCCCTCCCCTGGCCCCTCAGCAGCTTCCTAATGGCTGCTGAAGGGCTAGGGAAAGGACACGGTTCCCACACGCACCACGTCAGCTTGACGTTGCTGAGGTGGTGCGTGTGGGAAGAGGAGTAGCCATGTGCCACTCGGGACAGGATGAGCCCAGCCGGAGCAGCAGGGGCTCAGCTGCACTTTCCCCCTACCTGTGCTGGTCAGTCCCGAGCAGCACACAGCTCCACCGCTGCTTCTGCTGGCTGGTGCCAACCTGGGCAGGTCTGTCCCATCCGGAGCAGCATGCAGCTGAAGCTGGATTCCCACGTGTTGCTGGGGCAGGAGGAGGCCGGCCAAGTCGGCACCGGCCAGCAGAAGCGGCAGCAGAGCTATGTGCCACTCGGGACTGACCGGTGCAGGCAGGGGAAAAACGCAGCTAAGCCCCTGCGGCTCTGGCCGGGCTAATCCGGTCCTGAGCGGCACACGGCTCCGCCGCCGCTTCTGCTGGCCGGTGCAGACCCGGCCAGGCTCCTCCCATCCCCAGCAGCTCATGGGAAGCCGGCTTCAGCCGCATGCTGCTCCACATGGGATGGACCCATCCGGGTCAGCACCAGCCAGGAAAAGCGGCATGCAGCTGAAGCTGGCTTCCCACATGCTACTGGGAATGGGAGGAGCCCGGCTGGGTCAGCACCAGCCAGCAGAAGTGGTGGTGGAGCCATATGCCACTCATGATGGGACAAGGTTTCCTGTTACATTTTTTCAGTACTTCATTTAACCCAGGCTTGTCCAACATACGGGCTGCTGTGCAGCCCGCCAAGCCGTTTTCTGTGGCCCGCGGTGCTGCTACGGGAAACGAAAGTAAACACTGTAGGGGGAAAGTGCAGCTGAGCCCCTGCTTCTCTGGCTGGGCTCATCCTGAGGTTCATTTCATGTTTGTAAAATGCTTGGAGAGCCCCACATAGATGCACTGCATAGAAATACAAAATATATTTTGACCTATTTGGTTGGCACCTTGGGCTGAGATTTTCAAAGCTGAGTCAAAAGGCCAACTTCCATTAAAATGAATGGGATTTAGAGGGCTCCAAATCTTTTATGACAACTTTGTAACATGCCTATTTACCCCTTTTTGCAAATCTCAGCCATATTTTGGAAGCTCAGCCAAAGAACATAAGAGCTGCTGAACATAAGAGCATAAGAAGTGCCATGCTTGGTCAGCCCCAAGGTCCATCTAGCTCAGTATCCTGTCCCAAACAGTGGCAGAGGTGGTTACTATAGAGGGAGAGTTTTGAACTGGTTATTTAGACCCATTTCATTGTCACTTCCTGCAACTTCATTGGTGTCAAAGGTCACGTGACATTACTTCCTGATGTGATACCACTTCCTGTGAGGTCTTTGAATATGGCTCGCCGGCCCACTGGGTGATAAAAAGTTCGTGATCATCCAAAAAGGTTGGACACCCCTGACTTAAGGGATCTCATCTTCAGCTATAGTTCAGACAAGGAAGTCCATAAGGAACGCAGTAGTAATGTGCAGAGATGTGTTTAGTTGTATTAGTCGGAAGGCAGGCAATAATAATGTGAGGTGCTTTATGTTGACAGTAAACTCACTGCTTTGATGAAGTGCAGTGCAAGGCTTCCCTGCTTCCCATTCTGCTTAGCAGGAAACTTTCATCCTCTCTTTCAAATTCCCTCTGCAGATACTTAGTTTTGACTACATTTATTCATGTATCAGATTTATGTACTAACCTTCCCACATTGGCTTGATTCACACCTTTTGTGATATGTTGAAGTCTGCAAGGTTAAGTCCCAGTGCCACCTCTGAACAACCTAGCTGACCCAGCTGAATTCCAGCTGGCTACTGCTCAGCCAGCCTGATTGGCTATGGCTCCCCACTTAAGGAACTGTCCTAGCAGCTGATCTCTGCTGCATAACACAATGTGCTTCCATCCTATGTATCAGCTTGTTTCCCTACCCTCGTTCTGATTCTTGGCTTCTGAGTGTGGGTTGTCTCTAGGCGCCCTGGGTCTGGCTTCTGACTCTAGTTTACTTTCTGGCTTCTCATCTCTGGTTCATTAGCCTTGGCAAGGCATCCTATTTTTACTAACCTCTGGTACTGAACACTAGCCTGGTATCTCATACCTGACTCCTTCTCTTCAGCCTTGCTTGGGATCCAATTACCAATCATTGTCCATTTCTTGACAAAGCCAACAGAAGACAGAGGTGCTTGAAAGCCAGATTGTTTCAGTAAGAGTCCAAATATAGATTTAGATACTTAATTTTTTAATCAACTAGAGTGGATAATTTTGCCCATTAACTATCTTTTCACTTATCCTTAGGTCTTTGAGAGATTTCCCTGCTCCTACTGGGTTCTGAACCCCCACCTTGCACAACATAGTGGTTTAGGATGGACAAAGGGAAAAGGATTGCCTGTAGAATCTTGGGCATTGCCCCTACTGATCAAACAGGTAGTCAGGGCTCCTTGAATTTGCTGGAGAACTTAGATGCCCAGTGGTTAGTATGTAGCCACAGAAGACCTGAAGTCATTCCCACAGGCTTCCTGGCCGATTTTGCACAAGTCACTTCAGTTTCTTTGTGCTCCAGTTCCTCCATCTAAAAATGGGAATAAAACTGCCTGCCTATTTTACTGGGGTGCTATACAGATAAAGACATTAAAATTGTCAGGAGCGTAGAAATTTAAGCCATTTAAGTATGTAAGATGGCTGGAAATGAGCAGTCCGCGAGTTTTAAAGACCATATAGACAAGTTTAACTATGGGCATATGTTGGAAAAGGCAAATAAATATGTGCATTGCAAGTCAGATATGGTACCATCTTTGGTGACAGAGACAGAAGTAGTTAGCCCCACTAGTCTGAAGTCAGGCAGAAACCAGGACGAACTTGCATCTTATAGACTAAGTCAGTCGGGCAGAAGGAGCAGTGGCAGTGCTGGACCAAGTCAGTAAGGACCACAGCAGGAGCTGAAGTTAATTGGGGCGGGATGCAGTGGGCTAGTGGCTGTAGTGGGGGCAGGCAGTAGGACAGAGGGCAGGTTGCATGGTCTCCCCAATTCAATGCCCATCCCTACCGCACAGTTTCTGTTGTGCTTCCCCTGCTGTAAACTCCCTTCCCCGCTTCAGGAGTCAACCTGGCCTGGACCCAGTGGTGGCTCAGCTCCAGCTATGGCTCCAAGCCCAGGGTCAACACCGGAAGTACTTGAATCAAAGATAAGGGGTTTTTTCTTCCACAGTGCTTGGGGGGAAAATCTTGTCTTAGATGCAAGTAAATACAGTAATTATTGATTTAGATTTAGCACCATTAATAATACTCCTATGGAAGTATTACATTAAACTTTCAATGACAATAACAACCCAGCAGCAGCAACTATTAACCTCCACCACAACCTATTAACTCCACCACCAGCAGCAAGTAGAGATAAAAGCTTCTCTCAGTTCCCTTCATCAACCAATTAAAGAGAAAAATGGAAAACCACATCACTAACTCCCTCCCTCCAGTCCTTCTTATGAACATATTCTCATCCCCCCAAAGTCCTATCAAATAGCTTGACTTACATGGAGCAGAAAGAAAGAAAAAAAACAATCCTGAAGTGTTGTTAATGGAAACAAGTTGACAAAGTTTGCAACGTTTGGGGAGTAGATTTGTACTGAGCAACTCAAGGTTAAACAGGGAAAAAAGTAAGAAAGGTACTTTTCCTTTCCTGGGGGGATTAGGCATAGTTGTTTACATTTTAAAAGATAAATAGATTTGCATTATATAATTAGATTGTAATAGTAGCAAAGTGTGTTAGGCATTTTCTAAACAAATTGTTGCCATTGTCCTTGCTGCAGTTAGATTCAGTTCCAGTGTCTTTACTTTTTTCCTCAACTTCTGACCCTATCTCTTCACAGAAAAAGGGGCAGTTGACTCATATCACACCAGTTCTTCCAGTCCATTCACAGAAGGGCTTCTAGAGAAGAGGAAAAATGATGCGTTGGCAGGGGGCAGTTCTTTCTTTTGAGACCAAACCCATACAGTCAATTTCTCCTTCTTTCCCAATGGACATGGCAGTTGGGTCTTGTGTATTCATTGACTTTTCAAAGGCAAACTTAAAGCTGCATGGCACCACATTAATATCATAAAAGAGACATATATGCATTTCTGACACAGCAGAGAGGGGAGACTTTGCCATTACTGGTGGCTCAGGTTTTCCAAGAGTTAAAGCTTATGCAGTAGCCAGCAGTCCAAGCTGCTCCCTGCTGGCCAGAATAACCACTCTGAATAAAATACAACTCTGGATGTGTGGGTAGAGAGGATTTCAAATAGGAGTTACAGCAACCAGCTGTCAATCTGGCATGGCACCAAAAAAACAGTTACATCATCCATATGCACAGCTGCCAAGTGCAATGAGACTTCCGCACTGCTGGTATCAAACATGCAGTAAACCAGAAGTAATGTAGATTGTACATGAAGGAGGTAGTTCCTGGATTTTGCTTTTCTCTTTCTACACCCTCTGAATTCAAGCTCTGGTTTGTGCAGGAAAGACTGACAGGATGGAAGGGAAGAAAACAATTGCTAGAGCATTAATGTGTGTGTATATGTCATGTTGTTCTTACAAATTAGGGTTATATTATCTAGCTCCATTTATATTGCGGACTGTTGCTTTGCAAGCTTCCCTACATTGCTCTACCATTGCACCTCAACACTGATCCCAGGTGCTCCCAATATTCTGGGCCTGGGCCTCCTTTTCTTTTGCACAGACTGTTCCTAATCCATGTAATGTGAACAAAAAAACCCTAGAAGTTAGCAAGCAGCATCAGAACAAACCTGCCTGGGCTTTCACTAAGTGTTTTCTCTGGTTATTGTCTCCTTGTGGGCTTTTGGGTATGATGACTAAACATCCTGAATGTACAACCCAGATGTAAAAAAAAGCTAGTTACTTTACTTGAAAAATTAGATTGAATAGTTTTGCTCTTACTTTAAATCAACACTTCAGAAACTGGCCATTTCCCATTTGGGGAAACTGACTTTTTTCTAGAGTTTTGAATGGCCACATATGAGTTCTCTGCCCAGGAGAAGGGAGGGCTTCTGAAAGAAATGGCTTACTAATCCAGGGAAGGAACAAATTTGTAGTTGATATGCTGTTTTCCAGCTTAGAGCAATCACCATCACTTTTTCTTCCTCCTCCTCTGGCCTGTGCTCCTAATATGTAGGTCATATATTATGCAATCTCCCCATTGCTACCTCAGGAATCAGAAGGAAGTGTCTGCTTGTGTAGGAACACACCTGTGAATTTCTAGATAAATACAATTTTTGTTCATTTCACATTTTCAGAGGAACACAGTCTTCTCCAAGAGCTATGGTTTAGTGCCTTGAGAGCCACAAATTGGACACTCTGGCCTTTAGACAGCTCTCACAAGCTGCAGATATGCATGTGTCAAATAAAACATTGCCCTGAATTTGATTATTCTATAGACTTTGTACTATGATGTCAATAAGTCTGGTAGCTCTTGCAAATGGCAACTAGAGGAAACAAGAATGCAAACACAGCTACTAGCATAATTATTCACACTCTTCAGGTGTGGAAGGAGATGAGTCAACTAGGTCTGTCAAGGGCTAGTGCTGAGCACCCTGTAGAAGAACACCAAGGGGCTGTCCCCTAGGATGTGTGGATCAGGTGAGATCTGTATAGACCTGGGAGGAATCTACACAAAGGAACTATGCCCCCCTGCTGGATAATGGGTAAATGGTTCTTGACCTTTAAAACTCTTACCCATTGTTACCCACACAATTTCATTTAAAGCCTCATTTAAAGGGAAGGGTCAGAAGGTAATGGTTTGCCAGCAAGGAGGGCAGCCACAGGAAAAATGACTGTAGGCTCAGGTTGCTAAAAGGGATGATGAATTTCTGTGGCCTTCCCTCTCTAAACTCCTTCCAGCAGCAGAGCCCTGGATCCAGGAAGGGTCTTCCACAGTGGAAAGAGGAGGGAAGATGGTGCTCTGATACTGACTCTGAATAGAAAGGGAGAGATTAGAGTGCAGAGAATCTCTCTGAAAGATCATGGAGGATCATTTCCCTGACTGTGATGTAACCTGTGTGACCACCACAAAAACATATTTGGAGAAGTTTGTGCAGCTGGCTGAGTTGGGCACATTGTGCTATATTTGAAGGACTGTGACTCAGGTGAGTTTTTGTTTTGTTTATGCTTTTATTTAGCACTTTTCTCTATGAGAATCTGAAGGACAGATTTCTGTTGACACTGTGCTGTGCTTTTTCTTTGTTTTGACTGGCCAGTAAGTTAGTACTCTGGGTGAGAGACATTGTATCTCTCAGTGGGGTTTCAACACTGTATTGCTTTGTTAATCTTTAGCTTAGTAAAATAGTCCTGGTGAGTCAGGTAGATGTCATTACCTAGGTAAACGTCTAATCGTTTTTTGAATCTTGAACTCCTGGCCTCTCTGATACCTTCTGAGAGAGTCTTGTGTAAGAAGTGTTTCCCTTAGGCAATCTGGTAGTTGAGTCTAATCAGTTTCTTTGAATTAAACTTGTTTTTGTATTGTGGGGAAAAGCAAATAGGAGCACCCAACTTATTTTTTCAGAACCAGGCATTACTTTACCTACTGTTAGCAAGTCTCCTCTCTAACTTAGGCAACCTTAATTTACAAGTTGAACAGCCTGTGAAGAATAGTGAGGGTTACAAGATGCAATAAGCCTGTAGAGAGCCCTTGGAGACTCGTTTTGCAGGTAAACTTTGCAGAACCCAAACAACTGAGTCTTCATTAAGCAGGCAGGATAGTAATGTCTTACCCCTCTTCCTCCTATAGGAATACTACATAAGAAAAAGAAACTTTGGCCCTGCACACACAATAGCATCTATGGGAAATTGATCTCAACTAGAGGAAAAGTATAAACATCTAAAATTAGTTTTTAGTAGCAGCCAGAGTTTGGATTACATAAACAAATGGAGAATTTCTGCTCTTCATGGGTTTTTATACAGCCTGAATTACTGTAATGTCTGAGCACTTCCCAGTAAGTGACATAACTGACATCTGTCATATGTGGCTCGCTCTCTCTCATCCTCTTGCCGTAGAGAGACTTGTGGGGGCAATGGAGTGTTGTGTTTCAGTTGGATTATATATTTTAAATGTTCATATTGCTGTTTATGAAAGGCAGGCAGTAATAGAAATACCCCTTGCACTTGAAGCAGAAAGTGGTGATGGTCCTTACGCCCTGTAGAAATTCATTTTACCATCCTTAAGGAAGCCCTGTCCCCTGCAGAGACAAGATTTATTTCTGAGGCAGAGAGCTCTATCATGCTTGAGGAATCAAAATGTTGACCATAGTCTTTAGCTAAAAGCTTTATCTTATAGATATGTTGTGCCTGGGCCATTGAGTGCCTTGGGAATGAGGCATGAGGCCTTGGACTAAATTAAGAGTTCTATAGGAAGCCAAGAGAGCAGGGAAAAGGTTTGATTTACTGTTATTTTGATGTACTGCAATGCTCTGTTGTAGCTGGAGTTTCTTAAAGGGTAGATGGTCTCAAGCTCAGGCACACAGCACTCCTGTAGTCCACATGATAAGACAAAGGCATGTATAACAGAGGCCATTGTACCACCTTAGTGGATGATATAGTTTCTTCTAGCCAAAGTGGTATAAATCATTATCTGGGAATGATTAGCTACTCATGTGAGTGTAGTGGCCATTAGAAATTCAAGAGCACTCCTAACCTACATACTGGGTTGACCTGTTGTGAGTGCATACCATCATTCAAAGGAGATTTCATTTTGGCTGCAGCTTCTTCAAAGTGCTTTTCACTGCCTTCAGGCATAACCTCCTTCGGGCCTAACATCCTTGCATGTGCAGCACCAAATCACCTTGGTGGCAGTGTTAGGAGAAGGATCAATAGAACTGTGTGATATCTGTGTGTTCATAGATCATAGAGAAGTGAGGCTGGAAGGGTCCTCCAGAGGTCATCTAATCTTAACTTTCTGTATGAGGCAGAATCATCCCCATCCAAACCATCCTATAAAAATCCATTGTCTAACCTATTAGCAAAACTACACAGTCAACCCTGATGCATCCACAAGACATAACACCCTAACCTACCACAAGTAAAGCATTGTTGCTGACACCTGAGTCCATATCATTTTCCTGGTTTACCTAGCAGCTACATTTAGATGTGGGACAGGACTGGAGAAAGAATTGATCCTGAGGGACTCCATAAGAGCAGGGTTGAGCGGTAGCGGCAGAGTTTGCCATTACTGTTCTTGGATGTCTCTCTTCCCTTGCCGCCACCGTCGCCCATGAAGGACTTAAATCACTTGAGCATATAACCTTGGATCCTGCCACCTGGATCCAGCTCTGTGTTGAGGTCATCTGTGCTGAATATTACAGACACATTCAGGAGGATGTGAATGGATGTCTCCCCATTATCTGTTTACAGCAGGAGATTCACCGTCAGTGCCATTAAAATGATTTCTGTCCTGTGTACTGGCATGAATTCAGATGGTCACATCTGGGATATTAGCATAAATTGGATGAGCATGGCATTGGCATATCCCTAGATAGTCTATTAGTTTGCTTGGGAACAGGAGATTTGCGGTTTGTGAAGGTGATTGGCTAGAACCAAAGATTTTGAGTGAGTTTTTTTCTTCATCCTCCTCCATGCTATTGCATATTTGAAGGAGGAAGCAAAGAAGGGAAGTGAAGATTGCTCGTGTGAGAAAAAGCATTGGTTAGTTCACCTGAGAGAAGCACTAGTTGCTCATTGTTTCTGAGCATCTAGGAAAATCTTGGGTTAGATGTACAGGTCTTGGATTGAGGCTCCTTTTGAGGAGTGAGCGTATTGGCTCTTGGGCAGGTAGACAGGCTAAGTTAGGGTAGCAGGAACCATGTCATAGTGTGTGACAGGCCCTCTTATTTCCTGTTAAGGAGGAATGGGTCTGCAGCATTTTCTCTAGGAAGTCTTCTGTCCTGAAGCAGGTTGGACAAAGGAGGGAACTTGTTGGGCAAAAGAAAAACTTTGTCTTAGACTTTGTGTGGAGTGGAGCTTGAACACGAGGTAAAGCAAGTCTTGGCTTTGCATAACAGAGCCACTGGAGACAGAGTTCTGGTTTCTCTGTTTTGTTATTAATAAGCCTCGAGCTTGTTCATGAAGTCAAAGAAAAAAGGCTGTCAGTTCTTAGCAACGACTAAATCCTGCAAATAAGTCTGGTCAGGCTTCCCCCCTCTGCTCCACTAGTGTTACTCGTGCTCTTGGAACCACTTATCAGTTGAGGCTCACAGGATTCTTTTGACTTAAGCAAGTGCAGCATGCCTGGAGAATGCAACCAAGGAAGCCCTGTGAGACTGATGTGACACTTAAAAATGAATCTCATGAAAAATGAAAATTTGGCCATATTACTTAACATGAGTGTAGGAGCATTCTATAAGTATGTTAGAAGTAAGAGGAAGACCAAGGTAAGTATAGGTCCCTTCCTGAATGGGGAAGGCAATCTAAAGTAGATAGCATTGAAGCACTTAATTAATTTTTTTTTTTAAGTGTTCACAAGAAAAGGTAGATGGTTAGGTGATAAGCACAGGTACAGCAAGGATAGGAGAGGAAATTATCAGCTTGGAGTTGGGGAAGAACAAGTTAGAGATTACTTAGACAAACTGGATGTTTTCAGATTAGCAGGTCTGAATGAGATTCATCCTAGACTATGCAAAGAATTGGCTGAAGAAATTGCTTGCCCATTGGCTATTATCTTGGAGAATTCATGGACGTCATGTGAGATCCCAGATGACAAGAAGAAGGGCCAATATAGTGGTCATTCTTAAAACAAAAGATCAAGGAGTGCCCACGTTATTACAGGTGGTCAGTGCAAAAGATTATTTTCCATAATCAGCAAGGATTCCATTTCTAAGCACCTAGAGCAGTAGTACTCAAAGTTAGGTCCATGGGCTGGATCTGGCTTGTGGAGCTGAGTCACCTGGCCTGTGGGGCTTCCCATGAATCCAGAAATTTGGCAGCAGGGAAGCAGTGGCAGTATTAATTGCGATGGCTGTGTACGCCTTGTGAATAGGGTGCACCAATAGAGATTTTCTGGGCTGATACCGATAGCTAATTTTTAAGGAGGCAGATTGGCCGGTACTGATCCTATTTCTGATATGCAACCTGACAGCTATCGGCTGGTCAGTCTGTGGTGGAAGGGGCATTGGAGGAGGGGAGGGGGGGCAGATCTAGGCCTCTGCTGTGAGAGAGGGAGTGGGGCAGGGGCTGGGGCAGGGGCTGCCCAGCCAGGGCGGGGCAGGGGCTGGGGCCGGGGGCTGCACCAGGCTTTTCCCAGTGGGGGCTGGGCTGGGCTGTGCTTGGGGCGGGTGGCAGTGGCAGTGGGATGGGGCTTGGGGGGGCTACAGTGAACTTTGGGGTGGCTGCAGGCTCTTTAACCCCCTCCCAGCACCACCACTGTCTGGCCCAGCCCCTGCTGGGAAGAGGCTGGTGCAGCCCTGGCCCCAGCCTGCAGCAGCACCCACCCCAACCTGTGCAGACCTGGGGGCACATGCCCCCCCATGCCCTCCCAAGGTGCACGCAGTGCCGGGAGCCGTCTCCCCCTGCCCCCGCCAGTGAGCCATAGCTCTGTCCTGTGCCCCACCCTGCCCCATTCCCTCCCTCACCACAGGGGCCTTGATCTGCACCACCATGCCTTTTCCCTTCCCCCTCCCCTTCCAGCACAACAGATTTTCCAACTTACCAGCTGGACGCAGCTCTCCAAGCTGCCAGGCTGTGCTCCTGTCTTCGTGCATGAATGCATAAGGCATTTATAGGCCACATTATTCGCCACATCAGGCAAAAAAAGCCGATTTCCAATATAGTCAATTTTCTTTATATCGGTGCTGATCTGATATTGGACCAAAGTATCAGTGCACCTGTAAAAATTAACACTGTCACTGCTCCCCAATTGCCAGATTTCTGGACCTATGGAGAGCCCCACAGGCTGGATGACATGTCCCTATATGCAGGATTGGGGTGGCATGTGGGGATGGTCCACAACCAGACTCAATAGGTGCGGTTGGATCTTGCATGTGGGGTCAGTCTGTACACTGGATGTGGCCCATGGACCTGGTCCCACACACTGGATCCATCCCATGGACTGGCTGTGCCCCACTCATCTGGTGCATGCCAGAAAGGTTGAATACCACTG